TCTATTCTTTATGAAATGATTAATATGACGTTAGTTTTCGGTTAGCTATAATCAATACCAATTCTAGCAATTTTGGCAAACGCTACTTTTATGGCTTTTCACTATGATACCTTTATTGAATGGTTCCAATACTTAGCCGAATAGGGTAGAACAAAAAAGTAAAAAAAAAAAATCGCTTTCAAATGTGATGCGCTAATAAATTCCATACTACCAGAATAAGGATTCAATTAATTGGGCGATATGCTCACAATTTTTGTGCATACATAAACTTCACTGCTTAATTTTAAACAATATGCAATATTTACAATCCTTTCTTGTCCAATAATTCTCGGACCTGCAAGTGACAAAGATAACATAATTCAGCAATGGTAAAAGAAGACAATTTCAGCATAGAATTAAAACGTATGCATGGAAATTGATTAAAATATACCAATAGAAGTCAATTAATATGCGCCAATGGAAATGGATTAAAACGTACCCATGGAAAGTGATTAAAATATACTCATGGAAACTGATTTAAATATATTAGTGAAAACTGACTAAAATATATCAATGGAAATTAATTAAAACAAAGTCATGGAAGTTACTGAAAATACACATGTATAAGAACTGGATCTTCCCTGTTTTTTTCTTTTGTTTAAATTTTGAAATGAAACGATTCTTAGCATCATGATTATATGAATGATACATAATATCTTAGTTGTAATTCTAATTATCAGTTTCAAATTTAGCAATCAATCGATGGAAATTGTTGTTTCATTCAAAGTTTCTTAATGAACAAATATAAACAATGATAAATTGTAACAGAGTGACAAAAATTGGCCAAATGATGGATTTATTTGTTGTTTGTCAATGCAAAACGATTGATATGTTATTTTGTCTTCTTTTCATATATCTCTCTTTTTCTTTTACCTCCCTCTCCTTTTCTTTTCCTCTTTTCCTTTCTTTCGTCTATTCGATAAGCAAAATTTCCTCATTTTTTTTGAAGCAAAAATAATTAGCACCTTTTGATTTCTTCCTACTTTACTACTACTGACTATCAATCAACTCTTTCTTTCTTTCTCCCTCCTTCTCCCCCTTGCTCTATCCCGTCTCTCTCCTTCTATCTGCAACATAATCTTTTCGTTGCATTTGGAACAATGCAATTCTTTTTCACATTTCATCTATAATTTTTTTTTTCTTTTGAAAACAGATAAAAACAGGTCATTCCATATTCGCTTGATTACTCAATAAAGTTTGTTTCAACTCCCGGTGTTTCTAATGTGAATTTCTATTTACTAAAAATATTTAAAATAAAAGTGAAAAAGAAATTCGGTGGTAGTTTATGATATGAGAAATATATCATTCTATTAATGCATCAATTTCCAAGTAAACTTTCTTTCGTTAATTGAAATTTTAAACATAAAGTAATATTAATGACATATTCAATTTTCAAAATATATGTATTATTTCTAGTATTTCATTTAATACTAAAATCTTTTCATTTCATAAAAAATAATTCGCGCAAAAAAAAGGAAAAAAAAAGGAAAGAAAAAAGATGCAAAAAATGAAAAATTCAACTTTATAAAATATTCAAATTTTTAACTCTGCTTAAACATCATCGAAAATTAGTAAACATTATTCCCAATTAAATTCCCCTTTTTGAACAAATATCATGAAATATTATGAAAATATGTAAATAGATTGATCAAAATATAATTGTAAATGATGGGACAATAATGTTAAATGATTTTCCGTGATTATAGATAAATAATAATGACGGCCTAGAAATCATCTGAAATATGCGAAATTTACTTTTGAACTTTCTAACGATCATTATTAATTTGTATATATTATTATCTAAAATTCTAGAATTAAAATTTCGCAAATAATACATTTGTGTGAGTATTCTTGTCATTACGAAAGTTATGACTTTAAATTTAACCAAAATGTTAATTAAGAATGGAAGAAAATAATTGATCCGTAAAAAAATCTTCAAGCATCTGTTAGGAACTATGATAGTAAAGTGATAACAATAAAACTATGATACATGCAAGAATTTCTATCTTTAATTTGTCTGCTAAATGAAATATAGATTGAGCGGTACTAAAATCTTCAATCACTTATTTACCCTTTGACAAATCACTGATTTACTCTTTGACAGAATCTGCTGAACAACAAAGCTACTGTTACTGCTATCCATTTTAAACCCAGCGGACAGATTTACTTAATTCAAAGATCTACATGTCATAATTAATTCACCCCGACATTTAATAAGTCAGTGATATCCTGATAATAAAATGAAACACATATAGGCTACTCATAACAGTAACCACTCAAATCCTAACAGTTAAATTGTAGTTACGTGATTTCAGTGACAAAAAGAAAGAGAAGGAAAAAAAAGATATTATCCGAAGAAGAAATGTAGTAAAAAAAGATACATTTAAATTGCATTCAAATTCTAATACCATTGATAGATGTCATTATCCAAATAATTTCGCATTTGTAACTAATCATGTCTAGATCATTTAAGCCATTATGCTAATTCCTTTTTCTCACGCAACAGAAACCCTTTGTTAGTAAAAACCCTTCGTTAGCAAACCCTTTGTTAGCAAAACCCTTTATTACCAATCTTGTTTCACATCATTTAAATGTCCTCTGCCGGATACCTGGTCAGTTCAGTTCTGCATATAAGCAGCCGTCTTCCATTACAGTTATTCATTCTTCATTTAGGAGTAGTTTTTGATATCATTTTAATTCTTATAATTATATTATATCTTTCTTCACGCATTGTTATGGTATTGGTTTGTTGGTTTAATTAAGATTATCATTATGTATGATTTTGGGCGGTCTATGTGGTATTTACGTTTGAGTTAAATTTATCAATAATATGAATGAATTGTATTACATAATGTTTTCTGACCCAGAAATGATAAAAATGAATGTTAATAAGTTGAGAATCAGTCTAATTTTATATCCTGATAATAAATTTAAATAGTTATTCTAAGTTTTCAGCTGATAAATGTATCGTCAATCTTTGACCACAAATTTCTTGCACATTATTGTTTCAATTGGCAAGTTTCATTACTGCTGAAAAACAAAATCAATAGTCTTAAACCGGAATGCGTACAGAAATACACTAAGAAATATTGACAGAAAATGGGAGGGAGAGAGAGAGAGACGATGGAAAAAAAATCGAAACATAAAATGACATTGTAAGCCTTGTTTCGTTTTATGATGACAGAATAATTTGTTCATCATTTCTGTTATGATAGCTCTCGAAACCGAACCAATAAACCATTTCATGCATTTATCTTGCAGTAAACTGTTCAATTATATGTAACTTTACGTACGTATCCAAAAATTGCTATGGAAGCAAACTGTACTGCATATCGATTTGTATGTTTCACTTTGATAAGATACAATGATAAGATCGGTTGTCTTATTCAAGAATAAAAATATTACTTCTTTCAAGCTCATCTTTGATGTTAAAAATAAGTTAAACAGTAATGAAAGAAAAAAGAAAGTTCATCTAATTAGATAATACTATGTTGAAAAAATGTCAAAATGCTAATAGTATCATCAAAATATCCATTATACTTATTCAAAGTTGCTGAGTTTAATCTTTCGAGAAATAACAAGGTGTATTTATGTTACAGTGATAACATTTGAATTGTAGTTGAAATGTATTTTTGGTGTAATTTACAACAATCATAATCTTATATGACGTAATGACGTAACATAAGATCATTAGATTAGCAAATACATTTGAATGTAGCAAAATGAATGCCAAATTTGGTTATCGTACGTGATCATCCTAAAAACAGTTTTTTCTAAATATTTACAACAATTTTTCTTTTACTTATTAACAATTTATATATGCAATAATTATCTTTATTTTCGTGTTTAGGAAAAGTTTAAGAAATTTATATTAGATTTCCCAATATCACTTACATTACCGTGTGTTATTCTAATTTGCCACTCAGCCAGTTTGCACAAATTGGACCATTAAATTTTGAATTTTTCCTTTTTCTTTTTATTACAACAAAATACATCTGAAGATGCATCGTCCAAAGTTTAATTAATTGTTTTAAGTCCAAAATAAACCGATTTTTACCTCACCAATTGCTCATTTATACTGGATGATAATTATTGATAATTTTAGGATAAAAATGAGAACAAAAAAAAGTAAGTTTCGTTTTTTTTTTTCCTCTTTTTTTCTGTTAATTTGTTTTTTCCTTTTGTCTTCTTTTCAGTTTGATTGTTTACTTTCAATTAACAAAGTTTCATATTCCATTTTAAAAATACGATTTGTATATGATTCAAATTGTAAAGATAAAATTAAAAATAAAAATTTTGCATACCTTTGAGAATCGTTTGTGTGTATATATATATGTATGTGTATATGTGTGTGTATATCTATGTGTATGCATGTATGTATGTGTGTGCATGTTTGCTTGCTTTCAAGCCTGTCAATTCATTATAACATTTAGCAAAAGCAAAGCAGGCATTCAGGATGATGCTACAACAGATCGGATCAGCATTTCATACCAACTAGCTCGTAAAGCTTTTAAATAGAGTCCTGCACATAGAGTGCCTGCTCTTCCTCTTTTCACCTTTTCATCCTTTATACTTTGTCAATTCCTTTCATTTTCATCATTCATTTATCATTTCATCTATATTCATGTATTCCCATATATTTGTCAAACAGAATTTCATCTTTAATACTTATTATTTGTTATTGTTATTTATTATTATTGCTGGTTACATTTATTTCGCAAAAATATACCACAAAATAAATACATGTTATAATAAAATGTTTGTTTTAATTACGTTTTAAGTATTTTAATAACAATTCAAGTATTTCCTTCCAAAAATTTAGCTAAAATTTTATTTTTAATAATTTTCATACATTTTCAATAATTCAAGAAAAATATGGTGTGAAGAAGGTGTGATTGAAATATTTGATAATCATAGCAACTATTCTTATTTTCTATCGAATGAAACATTTATTTGGTAATATGGACGACAATATTAGTGCAACATGTTGTAGTAGCAAAGTACCATCATTGAAATTCATCTCTACACGATTTATCGCTCTTCTGCTATTTCAGGTCAACTCTAAAATTCTTATTATTATTAAAAGATATGAAATGTGATAAAAAACTGAACACAAGATTTTTTCTTTTAATCCTAATTTTAAAAATATCCATAATTTTTCATTTTGATTTTTATTTTTAGACAAATGTTCATTGGAGAAAATTGGGTGAGGTGATTCAAATCATTCAAAGATGGCTTTACAAAGCAAATTTGCCAGCATTAATTAAAAAGCAATTGCAATGCGGATTACGTGATGTTTACCGTGAAATTGAGCGTTGGAGTAAAATATTCTTTGTCTTATCATTTATTGCTACTATTATTATTACTATTAATTACTATTGTTTATCTTGAAAAAATTAATTAATTTACTGTTTCGTTTCATTTTATTAAAAATTTATCAGATGAAAAACATGCAAAATTATTTGATGAGGACGAGAACGATGAAACAAGTGAAATATTACGTCAGCGGGTACATCGTAGCAGTCACTTACGATTATTTTATGGAAGCATTATTTGGAAATATAATAAGTACTGTTTTCATTTTCATTGAATGATCATCAGTGATTCATTTTTTTTTAAGACCTACTAAATAAATCTTTTTAAAAATATTTGATACTTTATATCATTCATATATGAATGATAATATATTACCACTACAACTGATTTCACATATAGAATAATATCATATGCGTATGCGTTCTGAAAATTTTAGTTCGTATAAATTTACATATTTAGTACAAAAAATGACAATTATGATTGGATGAGGAATTTAAATATGAATAATTCAGGTACGAAATTAGTGATCAAAAGACAGCGCTAGCAATTATTAAAAAGGATTGTGCCGATTGGCCTCAAATGCAATTTCAGTTAGCTTGTGCTTATGCCATTCATCATTTATTAACTGAAAGAAATTTTGATCGTATCAGATTGAAAGCATTTGCGTGAGCGAAATATTATAATTCATTTTACACTTAAGTTTTTTCCCAATTTCCCAATAAAAAAAAAAATCGTAATAGATTTCAAAAATCAGAAATAGTAAATAAGTGAAAAAAATCAGTCCATTGTTTAATTGTTTAAACGACATAAACTTTTGAATATGTTTGAAGTTATACAATAATTGCATATTAACTATCATTTTTGTTCTTCACAATAAAAAAAAAAAAGAAGCTTTTCAAAAAAAGAAGCTTTTCGGAACAAGCAGTTTTTCTCTTTCAGGAAAAAATTATCCGGACATTGTTTGTATGATTTTTGGTTCGCATTACTTAACAATACTCATGCATGGAGTAAAATGCTTAATTCGGATAATTTACTACCAGGACAAACATTATCATTGACATTTCAGTTTGCTGTTGTACATGGTTATTTTGAGCTTGTTAGCTTCATATGGAATCATATTACGCATCCACAGAGAGAATTTATTGGTATTTCTTCATTAAAACCCATTGATATATATGTCTTTTTCTTTCTTCTCAAACATATAGAAAAATCAAAAAAAAAGTTTTCTGATTATTAAGCAATAATTATGAAAATTTAAAAGGAAGAAAGAAAGAAAAGAAAAACAAATTATAGGATTACTGCAGTGGAGAAAAGTATGTTTCAAAGCGAAAGATCGTGAAGTGCTACATTTTCTGTGCGAACAACTCTGCGCAATTAATGCAGCAGGTCTTGCTCGAATTACATGGAATACTTTTTATCAAACACTTCAAAATTCATTTCAGGTTGAATTATCAATAATTTCAAAACAATCATATTTTTTGCAATCAATTGAATTTTATTTTTTTCCTTTTTTGGATAAAATTAGAAAGCGAAATTTAAATATTAAATTGCAATGAAGGATATTTTCATTCGGAATATGAACTAAGCTATATTTGGCAATTATATACAGTATTTCACTTTATGGTTAGTTTAATTTTCAATATATTTTTGAGAATTTTGTCAATTTACATGACTCAATGTCAAAATCTTCATAATTTATTAACTAAAGTTTTTCAATTTAGATATAATCTGATTGTACAATAAACAGAATAAAGAACATAATATTTGTAATTTCATTAATAGATCGTGGAAAAAAACAAAAGATAAAAGAAAGCTAAATTGAAATATTTAGGAAGATAACATAGGATTTCGTCAGGATGGTATGTATAAATTAGCGTTCCTCTTGGAGAATATTTGTCCACGGCTCCGTAGTGCAATGCTTTCCATGGAAAATTTCCGGTTTGCAAAATTACAACCTCATAAACATTGGAAATATGCAGAAATTCTGCATAAATGAGATGCGTAGTAAAGTTTAAAAAAAAGACAATGTGAAAAAATATATGGACGTTTGTAAATAATAAAAAAGGAAGAAAGATTATTTGCAAAAGTTTCAGCTTCTTCTTTTTTTAATTTTAAAATTAATATCGGATTGATTTCAGAGCAATTACAGATGCATTTGTGTATAATCAAGCAGAGCTTTTTGCTCTCTTTTTGAATTACCTTGAACCAGAACAATTACAACTCACGCGTGAATATATTGATCGTATTTATGACCGAAAAAAAAAAAATGAAACAGCCCAAAAACAACTTCGAATATTGTTACGTCGACAAAAAACTCTAGCAAGAGAAACAATTCATACGAATGTTTCATTGTTAAATAATATAACAAATAATTAAGGCTATTATGTATTTATTTTACATAATATAATATATTCTTATATTTCATATGATTTTCTGATAATATTAATAACTATTTCCTATTTATTGTGTCTACGTAACCTTGTTTATTTTGTATTATGTATATATTTGCAAATTTACTCGTAAACAACTGCATATGAGCGAAAATAAGTAAACAAAGAAGTGTGAAGTTCACTGAGTGTTAATAAATAACCAAACCTGCGTACTCATTAAATACAGAACGTATTGTCCAAGTAATAAGTGCTATTATTCCCAATGCTTTATTATTAAAAATTTCTCTGGTAAAATTTAAGCGTGAAAAGCTAATTGAAGTGTCACAGTCAGGGAGAAGAAAGCAACTGGATGAGATGAAATGTAATATATGCAGCTAACAATGACTGCAAGGTATTTTTAACAGGAATGTTTTTTGCTTTATTCCAGCAAGAAAGAATTGAAACAGAAAAGCAAGCGTAACAATTGAACTATTTTGGATAAGGAAGTTAGAGAAATTGATAACGAATTCAAACACGAAACTGTTCAGTAAACAAGCACAAAAGCATCGGTTCAAAAAGTTTAATTAAAAGGCTGCATTTTGATAAACAAATCGGTTAACAGACCATTTGACAAGTGTTAACTCATGTAAGAACACAAATAATGCATTTTCGGAAATGATTATGGAGAAGGTTGGAATCAAGAAAGAAACTGATATAACATCAAATACCAGACGTCAGTAATCAAGATTTTTCGAGAAATAAAAAAAAAAGATCAGAAAGGAAAGAAAGAAGGTGAAGGATGATATCGATAAAGTGATCACTCCTGGTCTTCAAGTGAGAGATGCGTAATTTTAGTGAAATCAAATCCAGTGGTAGTACCACGTTGAAATATGTCTAAAACATCTTTACAGGTTGTCTCAAAATGGGTTGTTGGATCATAAGAACGTGAGATAAAGACTTGCGATTCAGCACCCATATCAGTCGGCTCATAGACGTCCGAAACATTCACAAACCTGAAAACTCCTTGTGTATGCTGATATATTCCAAATAGTTCCACTTGCATTCGTTACATGAACGAAGCTTATTAACCCTATATGAAACAAAGTTTGGAAGACAAAAGTGAACAAACTTCTCGGTAACTGGACCCAACAAATGCAGTCCTGGTAAAATTTCAGCTTCAGGATTATTTGTTTCCACAGTTGTTGAAACCATCGCAATATACCACCCATTAGGTGCCACCATATTTGCATTAGACACCAGAGAAATATAAATATCTGGAATATAATTCATAAATTCTATCATCAAGAAAATACATAATATTTTTAAGGAAAAGAAGAAACATACAGAAAATTGTAAATGAAAACGGGAGATACCGCAATGGCGTCCAACTTGCTTCTGTGGAATAATTATCTGGCAGCTTTGCGCATCGTTAGTATTCGGTATTGGATGGTTTAGAAGGCAAATGGCTCGAATAACTTGCCCAATTTTCCTCACTTTATCAGGGACGTATGACGGATCACAATAGACCTATCAAATACCATTTTAAAATAATTTATAAAATATCATTATATTAAAAAAAAATATCGGAATTAAATAGCTAATAGCAACCTTCAAAAAATAAAATTAACTATTACATAAGTACCTGTTTACACTTCGCAATGTCATTACCACTTTTCACACCAACAACTTTCCCATTTTCATAAACTATACCGTCAACAGGTTTGTCAAGCATGTATGTTCCACCATAAATTGCACTCAATCTAAATTTGAAATTTTAGAAAGAATTAACATTCTTTTATGAAATACATCCTTTTTATGACTTCAAAATGTAGCAGTTATTAAAACAAATATTGATAAATAATTAAGGAATTCCATGCCGAGCGAATCCTTGTGGAAGTTCGCCAAGACCATAAAGGGGATACAGGTATGGCGATTTTCCATATCGAGCTAACGAATCGGAATACAAACGAATCCTTTCAGCTGTTGGCACAAATAATTCATTCTTGTAACTGAAAAATAAATTTTAATAATAACTTTACAGAGTCCAGTTCAATATATTCAGAAAAATTTTATGTAAAACATACTTGTCATCTCGATACAGTGCCAATGCATGACCAGTGAAATCCGCTGTATTTTCATCCAAACCGAACTTCTCATAAACCTGAAAAAAATTCTCAATAAAAATTACGTGAATTCGAATAGTTTAATAATGCTTTGTGATAATTTTTAAGATTTCAAAGCTTCCTGTCAAATTTACTCTCCAAGTTCTCCAAACAAAAGCAAATTTACCTCAAAAGTCAATGAACTTACTGTTATATTCCAATTGCAATCCAAATAACACATGAGAAGACTGATAAGCATAGTGAATGATCATTCAGAAAGGTTTCTATAATACTGAAACAATGAAAACAACCTGCTGCATTGTAGTCACAACAGGATCAAAACCCTCGTACGTAGCCTTGTTATTGATGTCGAAATTTTGCACCCAAACGAGAAATTTTTTGAAACGTCTCTTTTCGAACATTCCCATCAAATCTGAAACAACGCATATTTTGTCTCAAAAACGTGACATGAAAAGAGAAGGCATCAAATACAGACCAAAACATACTTGTAGCTAAAGCTTCCATTTCATCAGCTGGAACTTTGAAAATTTTTCCACCTTTGTATACGTAAGACCCCTCAATAGACTTGAATTCAAGATAACGCGTCACGCCTGTGTGAATCAGAAGCTGTAATAGAACAAAACTGAAGGATAAGAAGAAACCAAGTTACAATCGCAAGTTATCATAACAAAATATTCTAGAATAAACCAAGAAAAAGAAAGCTGGAGAATTAACCTTAACAAGTGATCCATTTGCCATCAAGAATTTAGGAATTAGATCAACATTCCAATCCCGACCTCTTCCCATATCCGTAGACGGTTTCGCATTCGGTCCTAAAAATTCTATATATAATGAAATTCCTCGTGCCTTTTTGGATATGTATTCTGCAGGTTTTTACAGAAATTTGGAAAAATAATCTTAAAAAATTGTTTACCAAAAAATTTTTCATAAAGTTGTTCAAGTGGTGTAAGAGAAGCCGATTCACCACCATAATAATTGTTCCGATCAATATGAAGTATTTTCTTGCCTGACACCGATAACATTCCCGACAGTATACATTCCTAAAAACTATCACTTCTCAACTTCAATCAAATGGTTTTACAGTCATGCCTTGTTTATAAAGATGTTAGCATTCCAAGGTATGACGTTTTCGGTTTCATACAATTCGGATATGAGTAAAATAAAACTGAAGCATAAAATTGAAAGTACCTTCAGCCCTGTGCCAAGGACGATGGCATCGTATTCTTCATCCATATCGCTTGAACAAATAGGCTCACCTATAAATCAAATTTAGGATGTTACAGCAATTATTCCACGATAGCACGTTCTTAGTTATCACGTTACTATCAGCAGGGTATCTACAAAGATATGACAATCCAGTTAATGCGACATGCTTTTAACCATGCTAATTATTTTATATTTAACAAGTGATGCAAAACATAAGATTAGTCACATTTTCAAAGATGTCAGGACAAATTTGAGAAAGCAGAACGGAAAAATAAATAAGCGAAATGGTATGAAGTATTAGGGAAGATTCACCAAGGGATCATTCTTCCTTGTCCTTGATTGATGTAATCACAAATTAGCATAAAGCATTAAACACCTCTAAGATTGAAAACATTACACTTGAAATATTGTAAAAGCACTTTGGGAAATGAAAAAGACATCTCCGGCTCATAAATGATGTCATTTGATGTGAAGCATGCTACAGTTTCATCAAAATGTATAAATGAGAAGAATCAAACAAATGAAAATTAAAACAAGCAACAAAAATCGCCCGATATTTTCACAGCAATAATAAATTTTGAACCAAATTTCAATCAATATTTTTATTTGTTATTACATGCTATCTAATCACTTACATCTGAACGAGAATTCAAAATATTTTCAACTCATTACGGAACCTGAACTTTTTGTGAAAACCATTTATTATGAAAACTAGAGGTACACATGAAAAATAGCTGCAGTGATAATTCATTTGGAACTGGATAAAAAATACCCAGTAATGATAAACGGAAAAACCAAAAACTTCCTAGCCGGAAAACTTCCCAACAATTTTTTTTTTTTACTAGACCAACGCGAAGTTACCAGTATTTTCAGATAAAATAATCAGATAGTAAGGGCTCTGAGCAATGTTTTTCCTCATATCTTTTTGAAGTGAATAAATTCATTTCCTTCGAAAACTAATCGCGGCAAGTGTCGCAATTAATTTTTGATAGCAACTAAAGCATAATTTATCGACGTGTTTCGACTCCATGACCAATGATTCGTCAAAGGATTGTAAATCATGCCGTGCGATAAACGCAAACTACAACCATTTTCTTCTAGAATCATTCGAAGAAATTTCGGTTCAATAAATTTTGACCAATTATGGATACCAGGCGGAACAATGCCCAATACTCTCTGCAATAATTCATGTAAGTACCTCCAGTAACTATTTCATAGTTCTGTTTCAGTTCAACGGCAACTTTGAATTTAAAAAAGCGAATGGATGACCATTTCTATATGAAAAATCCACGAACACCTGAGATGTTTCCCAATGATTTATGTCAACTTTAGATTATTTTTCTCTAGACGATATTTATATTTTTCAGTGAAAATATAATTCAATATAAAACTAACCTCTGCCATCCAAACAGCCATCACTCGACTCGCTACAGTTTTATTGATAGTTGTGAAGAAGAGAGCACCGTTTTTGCGTACCAACTGAATGCATGATTCCACAAATAATTCCACATCAGCAACATGTTCGATTATTTCGGATGCGACAACTGCATCGAACACTTAAAAAAAAAAAAAAAAAAGAGGGAAGAAGTCATTTTGCTGACAGATAAGAAATGTCACCTAAAAAAGTTCCCACTCTCCTAAAATTAATGTTGGACAATTGAACAATAATGTCACTGAAGAGTAATTAAAGATGGCTAGGCATATTTCAAATGAAAAAAAAAAGAGGCAAGAGAGGAAAGAAAGAGACACAAAAAGTGACAATTTTAACTGTCAGAGAAAACATAAACTAGCAAAAATAAAATGCAGCATTATCACAAAAATCCCACAAAATGATTATGGATTTTATTCATGTACCTTACTTCCAGCATTTTCTGCAGCAAAGACTTCAACTGATGAACACTTAAACACTGCATTGCCTGATCCGCAATTTTCATGACGAAAACGATTTTCTGTTTCTACCGAAGCAATTACATCAACGGAGGCATCCACAGCCTTAACGTCTGCCCCCAATCGCGCCAGTGGAAAAGTTAGTATCCCACCACCACATCCAATATCAGCAATGTGTAAACCCGAGAGAGATTCCTTAAATAAATCGTTCACATTGGAAGAAATAAAGCAGTTGGAGTATAGGATAAAAATTGAAAGGTTTATGAAGGGTTAAAAGTGCAACAACTTCGAAGAAAATCACAATTTAAAAAACGAGAAACTACATGGCCCTGTTCGGTTTTGCGACCAATCATATCAACAATTAACGGCAGCCTGAGTCGATTCATGGAATATAAAGCCTTAAAGGGTCCATTTTCCTTTGTCCAATCGGGTGATAATTTTGCAAATGCCTTGATATCACTGCTATCAACCGAATTCTGCTTAGACTGAAGGTTCCTTGAATTAACCCAAAAGAGCTTCTTTCCTGAATTCAGAAGCAGGCGATGGAACTTATATGTACAACATGCACCTTTCCCAAGCTCAGCAAACATCTGAAGTTTATAAAGTTCAAGTTTCAAATCATTCTGACCTCAATAAAGTTGATTAATCCGAAGCATCTTTTCCCCCAATCGAAATCATCAATAAATCAAAGAAGCATGAAAATGGGTATCAACCAATATCAGCACAATAAACCGGATAATATAATTAAATATTTTACTATTCATAAATAAGCATAAAATTGTGACCATACAAACAATAGTGTGATTATATGAGCACGATCTATCACTGATTAACAGCAGAATTAATTTTTGCTCCTAAGAAAAGTCGACAAGAAATCTTTAGGTTTCGCTTCAACATTTTCACGGAACAAGTTATTTCGCAGATGGTAAGAGTTATACCAATGTTTCTGACAGGCCAACATCACCTGAAGTAATACTTGTAAAACGTAATATATTTAAGCTTGAAATAACTTAAAGCACTATTTTGACGAACCTCATTTAAATCCATAACAGCTTCATAATTTTAGACTGTTATCCAGTTAAACAACTTTGTAAATGTTAGAAACAACTACGAATTTCAGAAAAAAAGTGTTTTACTTGACGGCATTCAGCAATCTTCCGATCAATAACACGAAAATCGGTCAAATGTGCGTTATTAATATATTGCTTTTTTAAAGCTGCTCGAAAAACGGACAGCGGCATATCATCAAAATGGAACTGTTTGTAGAGTTTCGGAGCATAGCGTTGCCTAAAATAAACGAAAAGCTGAATGGAAAAAGAAATGCTATCTTTCGCTGACTAAACTATTTTCACATACAATTAATAGCTCTCATGTCTTACTAAAACAAAAACCCATCAAATGTAAAAATCAACAAGAAATGATTGGAAAAATTGATTGTATTATGTCATAATAATTTTCTATTTCTTTCTTTCTACAAAAAGAAAAAAATAAAAAAGTATTTAATAAACGATCAACCCTTAATTTTCAAAATAGACAAAACTGCTCGGTATAATTATCACATGAACAAGGTGTTATTGTCCCGCTGTTTTTCTATTAATAATACCTTGTCATGGACAGAAATTATATCCGATATATTCTAATCGACGTTTTATGCTCAGTGCACTTTCAACCAAAATATCATAATATTACCTCTATTAATTATAAATGGAAATTTTTCTCAGAAAAATTGTACCTTTTGCCGAAAAAATTAATTTTCAGATCTTTTCAAAAAATTGAACAGAAACGAGATTAATATTGCAAAATGTAACAATCTTCAACTTTTTTCTTTTTTATTCATTTACGACTGCCTCCAAATTAACCTTTCGCAATAACCTTATTGAGTGACCAGACTGCTGTTACCAAACAGAATGTGTACTATCAATACATGCATATATATATATAAAGACGTACACGTGCATACACATACACTATATATATAATACAATGAGAACCTGTTACTGACTGATTGAAGGTCGATGCAATTTCAAATATATTTTCCCATAAATTTTTTTTTATGCAACCAATTTTCTCACTTAAAAATTCGATGACAGACTATATATACATATATACACGAATCGGAATCATACACAACGTTTAAAAAAAAAAAAAAAAAAACTAATCTATGGAAATTCACAACATAAAAAGTGCTAATATAATGATGAAAAAAATGACCGTAAGGAAAAAAAAAAAGAAGATTCTGACGGAGTATTCAGTGAGCGATGAAACAAAACGACTGTCATCATCAGTAGGTCGGTCAATGTCAACGACCATCCACAAATTACATACTCATAAGAGGAACAGATATATCTGAGTTGAAATTAGTATTTCATTACAAAATCAAAAAAGGGAAAAATTAAAAATAAATTTTAAAAACAAGAACAAAAAGAATGAAATCTTATTTCAATTATAAAGAAGGGTTAACCATCAACAATCTCATATTGCCCATTTTCACAATATATTCATGCTTTAAAATAAGAAAATAAGAAAAACTGACGAAAAAAAAAGGAAGCAAACACACATACACACATTTACATAGGCGATTATATGAGCTATCCTTCCTGAAAAAAGATACTAGGCAAGCAATAGTGATAGCATTTAGGCAGTGCATTTTCCAACTCAAACATTAATATCCAAAATCGATCCAACGCTTCTCGTCTAAGCCTGCACACATACATATAAATGCAAGAACGAGTCAAAGATAAAAACGATTACAATCATTGTGAGACAAGAATGGCTGCATTACTGCTACTACCTCTACTACTACTGTTACCACTCCGACTATTACACTATTGCTATCGCAAACATTTCAACAACATCAAGTATTTCACCGGTTTGAAATGATGACGATATCCTTTCTTCTACTATTTCATGTACGAAGAAGGGTGGTAACAACGTGGACTAAAAGTTGGAAAAAATATAAGCAGAAACAAAAAAAAAAAAAAAAAAAAAAAACATTTGCTAATGCCATCTTTTATACTTTTCCCATTTTTTCTAACGAATATTATATGGTTACAAGAAGTAACTATCAATAAGAACAAATCAACAAATATGAACATGCTGAGATTAAAAAGGACCATAATGTTATGACAATTTAGAAAAAAACACAATCATCCCTTGCCACAACATTAAGCATAATTAACTTCTCAATAAGGGGACACAGGAGAACTACAGCGATGTGTTTTGGAATACATGACATGGCTATGCCACAGAAATAACAAATTCTACATCTTTTTATCTTAACTAGTTTTTCCTGAACTACTTTGAAAGGTGAGGGAAGAAATATGTTTCATCTTACATACAAAGAACTCCATTGCAGCAATAATTCTTAATTATACATAATGTGAAAATTTTGGCAGATTACGGTATACCAAGCATGATAAGAAGCAGGAAATAAACACGCCTTCAGTTTCATATGAAAGAAAAAGATTTTTCTCCTTCCCTTTTTTGAGTATTCGGCCTGATGTTTTTATTTTGTTTTCATTTAATAAAGAGATATAAATATACCAGGAGCAATACAATGAAGGCCGAATTAAGAAAACTGAAGCTTGGAGGATGGTGAAAAGTGGGGGGATAATAAAAGAGGAAAGGCGTGAATAAACACTCAAACCCATAGATTTTTCTGTGAGAAACGTAAATCAGAATAAATGTTTCCAAAAAACTGCTTAAATCGAATATGATATTACTCTAAACTTTAAGTGTTTTTCTAGTTTTTATTGCCCTAAGTTCGTTAGCTATGATCCAAGCATGAAATGCATCACATTTTTAAGCAAGAGGCAGTATGACTTATTTATTCGTGGAGTTTGACCACACACTCCACAGAATCATTTATTCCTAAAGAAGCCAATAATACAACTGCCATCACTCTATCCAATCAATTCAGTTAGTAAGGCTACAGCACTCCAAATTTTGCAGGAAACAGTAGAGTATAAGTAGATTTGTCTTCATTCGTGTCACTGTGCTTTACCTTTCTACTTCATCCACTGCTTTATTATCCTTCATTAATAGCCAACCGGAATCTCTGTCTCTGTCATTTCTGGATATAGCGATATTAAATAAATACTTGTTCAAGAAAAAAGTAGTAAGTTCCTTAAAACAATCGTGTTATAGCAAGCACTTGGATGTGATCGTAACAAAGCACGAAACGATATAAAGATATGTGACAGACACGGTGAAAGAAAACAAGAAGTTCCAGATCCAAAAAATAAATATCACTAACAGAAAGGTCAGTTTCTATGCCTCTATTGCGATAAAAGAATATGAAATGAACTAACATTTCTTTATATAAAGCAAGCACATTCGACCGGCTCTGTGCTTTATTGGCTGATACAATGGGAATAACTTCACGTGTAGTTGCTGTAGCAGTTCTTATCATACCTGTTGCCATTTTTGTTCAATTCAATGTTTCACCTCGCGATAGCTGGTAATTACACAATTAATCAGGAAAAGGTCTGATATGGTAAGCTGGACTGCCCTCAAAGATAATGCAGGAACCATTTATTTGAATAAAGAGTGTTAAGGTGAAATTGAAAAGCATGCAATCCTTTTTCCTACGATAAAGTTTAAGATAGAGACAAGCAGCAGCATGTAGTCATTGTTATGCAACTGGCCAAGAAATGCAAAGTAAGAACTCACTCTGGCTTCAAGAAATTCCACTTTTCGTTCTAGTAGTGACACCTTATCACTAAGTGCTGCGATTCTGCTCCGACAAGACAGTTCTGAAATTAAGCATCCCAAAAAACTTTGTCCCCAACTGTTATGTAACAAGCTTCGATCGTCACTTTTTGTGTGAATAAATAACAATAAATAATTAAAGTGTGAATAAATAACAACTCGTTGTCTTTCAATACAACCTGGATCAAGTGTCATCTTCTAACTGTCTAATAAATAGGTTGAATATTTCGTCGATGTGATAAATTTTGTAGCTGATCATTTAGCCTTGTTTTTTTCAGAAAATACATAGTTGATGCTGATAAAATTTTAAAAACGTACCAAAGTTACAGAGAAAATCCGCGATATGTCGAATGTTATCAGAAACTACCTGCGCGTATTCTCGATTATTCCAGTCTTCTCGCAATTGTCGCTGTACAAGTGTAACTTTTATATTACCTGCATTCATCCACTACCTTAAAGTCTCTCTTTCCTTTAAATCTGAAAAAAAAAAAAAATTCCAACTACTATCATGGTACTCTGTCGACATAACCATGCATTTATACTAGTCAAGAACACTATTAGGCGTCTTACATCACTTTAATATTCGTAACACTTCATCCAAAAACGCGACTATTTCATAACCATCATCCGATTCTAATTACCAAACTTATTTCCACCTGAATATCTTCCACAAATAATTGGTACAATTTCTGCGTACTTGATACATTCGCTACAAAAACTATCAAATAAGCATATTATAAACGCTTCATGAAACGGATTGCATGTTTAGATACGTTAAGTTACCCATAAAACAACTGCAATTCTCAAACTTCATGAAACAACGACGCACGACAAAAGTATCAGTACAAAAGGACGAGAGGAAATCCCTTTGAGCTGCATCATTGTAGCTTTGCGCGTGCGCACTCATGCCTGCCAATGTACATTGCGCCAAATTAAATCTCATAAATTCTAAAGTTTCAATTTAAATACGATCGATTGTTGCCCAGCGATCTTAAGACGTTTCCTTTTTTCCCTTCCTTTCTTTCTTTCTTTTTTCTCTCCAACATTGAAATATAAGAAGAGATGTCATGATGATTAGTTTCTTCTTTATATTCTTTTGGATTAAAATTCTGCAGATTCCCGTGAAATGTTCATATGAGTAAAATCCCAAAGGTGAACAAAGGAAAAGAAATCAAAAACGTCGAAAATTTGTATTATAAAAAAGAAGAAAAAGGGAATTTGGTGGAATATTTTAAAAGCAATTTCATATTATAAAAGTCTTTTCCTTCCTTAAAAAATTCTATAAAATTTTCGTAAATTAATTCATAATATCTAAAAAAATAATTTTTAAAAAACAATGAAGCACAATCTTATTCCATTTCATTCATTTCCTCATCATCTGTTTCGTAAAATTTTTTCAAAAAAGAAAAAAAAAAAGGTTTAAAAATTAAAAAAAGGAAAAATTATTATTTATTCTTCTTATTTATTATTATTATTATTGTTATTATTATTATTAATTAGCATTATCAATTACTTTTTAATTATTATTATTAGATTATCGTTATTACTGTTATTCAACTATTTTATCTCTAATGTATTTACCAACTTTTCCTGTTTCGTTCTTTTTTCACTTCTCTTTTTATATTTCATCTATTTCTCTTTCATTCAAATAATACTCCGATTACAATGTGCTATTTCCTGTACATTTTTGTCCGCTTTCTCATCGATAAACTTTTAGCATTTAATGTGCTTTCTGTAAATTCTTGTAGTATTCGTATCTATCACCTTTACTGATATGCTACTTTCATCGTTCTCAGTCTCTGATGTATCATATGCATTGAAACCTTATTAATCTCTGAACCTCCAATAAAAGCACAGTATTTCTTGCGTGACTTAATGTTGGTAATGAAACGATACGTTATGAACTGGTTTAGACTGGCAGGAGCACAGCAGAGAATATAGCGATTTTCTATCTTTGCTTTTTTCATTTTGGATGGAAGTTACCACTGAACTTGCTTTTAAAGTCTATCAAATATTCTGGAACTTCACCTGATTGTTTGGATCCTTATTTTGGTTCTTAAAATTAGCCTTTAGTATACTTTCTGATATGCATGTAGTTTCAGCTAGATCTAAGGTTCTAATCGCTTTTTGATTCCTAGATTGATAACCATTGTTTCCCAAATACATCTTTCTTTTTTCATTTCCACTAAAGTTATGGCTTTAATGTGTTTTTTTCCGATATCTGATTGCCAAATGGTACTGTTACTGCTGATTGGTCTTATCCATGTTTTCATCGTCACCCATGCCGAATTACTTCAAGGTCTCTATTGTGGCACAGAAAACTGCTATGAAGGTCAAGTTTTATCTATTTTATCGCTTCTTTTTTTTCTGTCCATTAGTTGAAACACGGCAGATGCTCATAAATTTGTTATCGGTTGTATTTTATTACTTCCAGTTCATTCTTTACCAATACATTGAAGAATTCTTACATCACCCAGGGCAACATTGTCGAACGATCACGTAACAACTCTTATTAGTCTTGACAAAATGAATACCTGAAATTCCTCCGCTATCCCGTACTTTTTTTATTGTTCGAACCCAACCGTCCTTAGGTTAACACCTGCACTACTTTTTTATTTCCTGTGATTCAATACAAGCATTCTTTATTTATTTATTTTAGTTCTAAATATTGATCGAACAGAGTTCAATAAGGTTTGTCGCTTTTATGTCTTTTTCGATATTTTTACTGCAAAATTATTTTTTCTTTTCAAAATTTTTTTCGATACTCGGATTTGAGTTGGAACTGTGGATCAATCTTATAGTTAATAGCTTGGTGTTCACAGATGTAAATAATAAAGTCTCCTATTGCTTATGTGATGCTCTTTTCAGAATATGTTGGGAAGAACGTATCGAAAATTAGCGGCGCAGTATCATCCTGACAAAGTTACTGGTGTGAGTAGTCACAGCAGTTTTTCAAAGCAGAAATGGAATTTTCGTGTTTATCATTCACTGATTTATATGTTTTATTGATTCACCTTATCTTTCATAGTAGCATCTAAAATTTTAGGCTAAGAAAAAAGAAGCGGAAGAAAAATTCCGTCAAATTGCAACCGCTTATGAGACTCTGAAGGATGATGAGACACGAGCTGATTATGATTATTATTTGAATCATCCGGAACAACGAGCTTATAACTATTACCAGTATTATCGCAGACGGGTAGCTCCAAAAGTGGATGCACGAATTGTTGTTTTGGTTACTTTGGTACTTATATCTATCATTCAGGTATGTTTTAATATTTTTCTCTTCGTACCACGAGTATTTGAATTTGAGAAGTAGTCAGTAAAAAAACTTAAGCTTATTGGAGTAATGTTTTTCATTGGTGCCTTTAAGACCGCCCACGCCTCACATTTTTACATAAGATTTATGCAAATTTTCGCTTAAGATTTAGAGATTATGATTAGCGTCCTAAATTTATATATTTTAGTTTCTAAGTGCAGCACAAAAACATAAGGAAGCACTTGATTATGCTGTGAAACAAGAAAAATACCGTAATGCAGCGAAAGAAATTGCCAAGGAAAGAGGAATTCCTCTGCAAGGCGACTTTCGTAACAGAAAGTCGCGGAAAGAATATGCCGAACAGGTCCTGCGGCAGATTATTGAAGAAAATGTGGATATCAGGTAAGATTTTAAAAATCACGGATTTAGTTTGCAGTTCCCACTTATGGTTGTTGCACGATAGTACAATAGTCCTGGATTTACCATTCAAGATTACGTGGTTCGTTTATGAGCTTTTTCTCTTTGGAGATGAATTTATATAGAGAGACTTAGTTATGTGACATGTTATAGGTTGCTCTCAACGAGTTACATTTGAAGATACACTCCACTGAATGGTTTTCCGGTTGCAGAGGTGGTTATAAGAAGCCATCGATATATAATACATTGCTGTGGACGATTATTGTGTTGCCTTATACAGTATACAGGTAATTTTACATATTTATTCATGTTAACTTGTTTCTGCACTGAATCATGGTTGATTCTGCGAAATTCAAAAATTCTGAGGAGCAGCTGCCGGAATTGATTCGAACTTTTTCAAGCGGGACTTGAAGGTTAGTGACAGTGATAGAAATGCTTCAGGTATGTTGCTTGGAACTTCTCATGGTTCATAAAATATCATGTGAAGAAAGAAGATTATGATGACGATGCGAAGTCTTATCTGATACGAAGAAATATGAGTCTTTCTGAAGAACAGTTTGCAGTAAGCTCTCCTCATATAATTTATTACTCATCGTAGCCTTATAGGCATATTTAAATAAGTCACTTTTTTGTTGAGCATATTCGTTATAACGATATTTCAGAGTTTCAGTGACAGTGAACGATTATCTTTGTTCAAAAATGAGTTATGGGATCGAGCGAAATTTACGGAGTGGAAGGCTGCAAAAGAAGATGAACAAAAGGAACGTTTGGCCGCTAGTGGGCGGTACAAACGATATCGAAGATACATCAAGAATCAAAACACTCTTCCCCTTAGTTTTATGGAATAAAAATAAATACTTGAAATGTTACTGTTCTGTCAATTTATGAGATGATCGGGGAACGAAATAAAATCAATGTCAGTAAATGTTAGTATAGCGTCAGGTAAGAAATGAAGACTAGTAGCATGATGTGCTATCTCTTGCACCAATAACTGCCTTAAATCCAGTAACTGTGCGATAAGAGAGGCGAATCGAAGTAATTTTGGGAATTTGCTTTTAATTTTGCTTTATTGACCACTCAGCAAACATATAATTGGTGAAATACCTGTACTGCCGATATCAATAAAAGTCGGACATCAAAGCAAGCATGGAGTGGCGGTCTACTGTGGCTGAAGTAATTTAATGTAGGTGGTGTTTAAATATTGGTCGCTGATTTCCAAGAAGCCGAAACACTGGACCTTCCTGGTGCCATTCGGACATCATGGTGGGTGACTGTTCCGCATGTTCAAATTTGGTGTAGTATAAAATTCGATGGAAGGGATGCGACCCTATCCCATCAGATTTCATACCCGGTTCGCAGAGCTTCACACAACTTTTTACAAAAGGTGCATACATCTCTTGGATGTGTATTATGCACTTATGTTGCTGTATGTCAGATAATCCAAATGAAAACTTTATTTAATAAAAGGGAGCAAAACTTACCGACAATCGATATCAGCATACAATACAATTACATACGAAAAAAAAAAAAAACAATGAGGGGAAGAGAAGATAATGCAACGTGGTCGATCGATCACAATTCCGGCGCCAATCGTTCCAGCTTACTTTTTGCAAAGCGCAATCAATCCCCACTTTTCTTCACACGAATAACAAATTCTGACAGTGATAATGGAGGAAACAGGATTCCTCTGAAAAGAAAAATACTGCTGGCGAAAATCAGTGAACAAAACTTTACGAACTAAGCTGCAGATACTTACTTCAGTACAGTTTCGATCGTAATAAACTTCAGAAGGAAATAAAAAAGTAAAATATTATACTTCGAACAGTAAACTTACTTGTCAATCTCCCATCCTACGGCACAACTTGTGAATGCAGAAAACCAAATACGTAATCCACAAAATCCGCTTCCAAGTCCTTCAGGTATAAGGATTCAGAGGTATAAGGAATTCAGAGCCCGAGCATCCCAACCTCTCCACTTTTGAGGACACAAAAATAAAGTTCTATCACAAATTAATTGTGAAGATATCGACATTAACTGTCGCAAAATATTAAACTCACAGAAAAAAGCTGCCAAAGACCCGCAGCAGTTGCTGAAACCTTGAAGACAATGGGAGTGCCAAAAACGTACAGGAAATGTTTTATAACCTTTTTTTGATGATCAAGAAAACACTACCCACCTGCTTCCAGGACTAACCTTTACAATTAAAACTGTGTGACACGGTCGGAAACTGTCGTTTCAGCTCTTTCTAAAGGTTCCACAACGCAGAGCTTATGATGAATTTATGCAAAGAAACTATGTAGGAAATCAAGTGACCTACTTATAAACTATTAAAAACTGCCTTTAAACTTATCGCACAAAATAGTTATAATCAGATATGTCTTGAAAAAGATGGAGAGAAAACTTACCTTACAAAATTTCGAGTTCACTACCAATCAGATGAATCCCTTACTGATTGCTAACCGTTCCTCCTGGAAGAAATATCCTGTGTTATCCGAGGAAATCAAATAATTTAACCAAGAAAAAATAAATTTGCTTTCTGAATACGGTACAATCAGAAACGAATCTTTAAAGACTTCAACTCTATATAAAATAACATACCAAAGATATATCTTCGTCTGGATGCATAATGTGTATTTTTGCCCCCAGTCTTTGGATATGATTTGGCATTTCTCGCATCCGCTCCGGTTCTGCATTTTTACTAGAAGAAGGGTCACTATAGGCTGGAAAAGCTGCTGGTACAGTAGGTGTAGGCTGTGTATTGATTGTCCCCGGACCAGGAATTCCGGGTACTCCTATCGGCCCATTTGGTAGCGGTACCCGAGAGGGTAAATTTACGCTGCAACGAATTCTCGATTATATACTGAAATACTTTTAAGCAGGCATACAGAAAATAACGAAGCAGTTGGTGCTAATTAATGCAATTAATCCACCCATTCAGTATTTCGAAATTTTAGGTTCCGAGTGTAATGCAAACACTGGCAAATTCTCTCAGAGGCAGGAACAGTAGGTAACCGCAAGAGTTTGGACTAATAATCAAGAAATCCTATGAATTGAGATTATGAAAGGAGTTAAACAAATCTTATCCATGTGCTCAGTCAGTGCTATCTCCCACCACTCTTATCTTCCTATCATCCCAAACAATAAAAAATGGAAACAAGTTCCTCTGCAACATATAATACGCGAGATTATTAAAACCTACAAAATTCTCCAGGATTTTTTATACAGGATTATATATATATATATATTCTAGCAAATGAGGAATACTATATATTTAATCACACTTCATTTGTGAATGACTATAATCGAAGACAATGCTGGCACAATATCTAATTTCAGCTGTTTTCTCGTTACCACTTCTATATGAAATATAATTTATCTGCCATAATCTGCTACTAAATCAGTTAAAAATAACTAGGTTATCCAGCAGCAGTCTAAAAGACCTATTAAAAGCCGTAAAAGAAAAATAAAAACAGGGACCTTGTGAGTGCAGGTTGAGCGCTACCTGGAGGCATGACCGGAAGTGGCGGGAGAGCTCTTGGCGGTGCCGGCACTCCTGGCATAAATGGAGGCCCGAATGGTGGCATCCCTGAAGGTGGGAGAGGTGGAAAACCGGGAATCATAGGTGGTATACCTGAAACACAACACGAATTTTTGAAATAGGAAAGTCAATTGATATATGAAATTACTTTCTCCTTTATTTTTCTTTGGTTTTTTTAATTTTTGATCGGATTTTATCACGTCCCGAAGCGTATGAGATTGATACGATTAAAAAATCAATTTACCTGGAGGTAGCATTGGAAATGGCGCTATAAGAGGAGGCACTGGAGCAGCTGTATTCTTCGACTCCTTCTTCGCACTTTCCTCTACAAGAAAAAGCTCCATTATTTTTTGGGAAGAACATCAAACTGGAAGACCAGTCAGGAGAGTTAAAACATTTACAATAAAACGGAAAGTTTCCGGACCTTGAGCATCATCGGGAATACCTTCCATACCATAAACTTCCACTTCAACTGAATCTTTACCAGGTAAGGCAGCAGGAATCTTATCTATCGTTTCTTTGTGCACCTTAAAAATGAGCAAACTTCAGGAATGGTAAACAGAATGAGCCCGAAGTGATAACACATGCAAAAAAAAGATTAAAACAAAAAATTCTGCTTGTTCAAATTCAACTAATTGGACCTGCATGCAATGGATGGCTAATCCAGGTCCTGTGAAAAGCTTTTTGTGACAAATATGACATTTAAAATGTTTTGCTTTTTGGTGCTGAATTAAAATTTTCTCATCTTCGAATTCGCGATTGCAGTACCTGCAACAGAATAAACAGAAACCATATATTCTATGTAATAGTATTGACCCAAACATTAGGCCTTTTAGAAAAGAAAAAAAAAAAACACGATTTCAGGAGATGGCCGCACTGAACATTACATTAAGTAGCATAAAAATCTCTGAAAAGATTCACTAAAACATATCGTCAAAATAACAGATTAAAACTACCAATGAACTTTGATAATTATACTTCACGTAGGATTTCTCATAGAATTGAATCTTATCCATCCATATCGCTTTCATTTACTTTAAGACATCCCTGTCGAATTTTATTCTACACTGGCTCATACTAACTAATAACTCAACAACTATTATATTTTCTTATTAATCATATACTTAAGCCATCAATTTATACTTACAAATTCGAGGAAAAATAAAGGAAAGAGAATAGTGAAAGAAGAAAAAAAAACATTTGGTACTAAAGATTTGATGTGCTTAATTCTATGCTCAACTCTTTAACCAATCAGACAAACTTAAAACCTAACTAAAATCTTACCTTAAAGAAATAGGCAAAGTTACTACACATATATCCCTACATATATGAATTTAAACAAAGCTATCTCAACAGGCCTTTGTTTTTCAGCAGAAAGAAAGCCAAGCATTTTGAATTCTTCCATAAACATTAAAATAGCTTACCAACACCAAGGCTTAGCGGCACGCTTTTTTTTCCGACCCATATCTTCGATAATAAGCAGTTAGCACCAGAAAGAACAGCTTACCAAAAATTTTTTTTTCCTCAGTGAAACAAAAAGCAATCCTGAAAACAAAAGGAATTGATGCCACAAAAAAAGTAGGCTCCTGGATAATTTCAAATGATGATACAATTTCAAACTGTTAACATCATACAATTTTCTTCTCTCCTCCAAACAACCCATATTATTTTAATTACCCCTAAATAATCATCAGCTCCAGACAACGTTAACCATCATTGATCATTAAGGGATACTGTCACATCACAATGAAACTAAAAGACGCAATAAGAAAAAAGGAAAAGAAAATACCACCAATTTCACTTGCGCCTTCAATTATGTGCAAAGCGCAGGAAACAATTGGCAAATCTAAGCATACAGATCAAAGCATAAACAATTTGGTGTAGATACATTTTTTGACTATGCACCATATAATCGTTATCGATCTTTACATCTCCTCATTTACACCACTCCTTTCCCTTCTCAATTATCCTCTTCCTTCTAATCTCTCAAATACTAAGCTCTTTTGTCGACCTCCCTATTCTTCACCCTCTCACAAATCCCTGAGCTATTTCGCATCCTCGATACCTAATGCCTCACAGTTTATACCTCCAACATAGTTGTTCGGAATAGGTTAAAAATCGATACGCCACGCATGGTATCACAAATGAGACGGTATGAAATTCATATGGATCTGAAAAGCGAAGGCTGTTTTCATGTAATGTATGTAATTTGCATCTTGTTTGCTGTGTGGTGAGTGGCACGTGAAGTGGCCGTGTTATTCACTGCACTTTATGGCGGCTTGCATTCATGGATTAATTTTTGAAAAAAGTGTTTGGCTTGCATAGTTTTCGCCAATAAACTAATAAATCTTGATGCTGATGTTTGACCTAGTCATCTTTTTTTTTTGTATTACTGATCTATGTAAGTTTGGTTATGGAACTGACTGATAATAAATAGGCAATTAAGGTACAATCAATGTGATTGGCTATCAGGGAGATAGTCAGTTATTTAATGGATAGTAAGTCAGTCAGTAAGTATTTAAACGATCATTTCTCTATCGTTAATATCAAATTTTTATTTTCAAATAAGCATCGATCAGGTCGAGAGATGTTGGATAAACAAGCAAAACAGTCCCGTGAACTTACTGAGCACTCATTATGTAGAAATGTAAATTATCACGAACAGTATAGTAGCAGTAATTATGGATGAATTCTTATAGTAATGACAAATAATGCCGTGTCATCGACTGTTACTGCTTTGCTGAATCGAGCTAAAGCAAAATATGTGGATACGGCGAAGATTGACATACTGTCAGCTTTAAGTGGTTTTCCTGATCTCACACCAAACGTTGAAGATTTCATTTACCCTGACAAGACGTGTACGCTTGCATTTTGTCTGAAGGGCACTATTCCTGTTTTTTATAAGGTTTGTTTTCTTTTAAGATCGTACCTTGTTTTGCGGACAGATAATCGTTTTATTCTTCCCATGTGATTTTACTTTGTACATGCAGTATTATACTTTGTTATATGTTATTTCGATCTCTTTCCTCTTCTTAGACATTTTGTTCATTTGGGTTTTGTTTGTCGGACAAACAATACAAGTGCAAGTGTGCTCTCAAATTTCCATTTACATAGTGTTTTTGTTAATTTAAGGAAATTTTTTCTCAGGGCAAAACATACAACATACCAGTAGCTTTATATCTCTGGGACACTCACCCTTATTATGCGCCAATATGTTACGTGTGTCCAACGCCGAACATGGTGCTGAAGGAATCAAAAACGGTGGATGACCTAGGACGCATCTCTTTGCCGTACCTTAGTGATTGGACTTTCCCAGGATATGATTTAAGTGGCTTATTACAGGTAATTTTTCCACGTACGAAAGTCAGTTGTTTTGCAAATGAAAAAAGTACTGGTCTTAATAAGAAATTCATAACATTTGTATGTTTTTAGGTTATGGCAATGTGCTTCCAAGATTCCTGCCCCGTCTTTGCGAGGCCTGGCAGCAATTCACATGTATCAGCTGTTGGATCGGTATGGGATCGGTCTGCTGGTCAAATTCAAAGCTACATACCATATCCAGTTTCGAATACATCTGGAGTACCGCCGTATCCAACGTCATTTACTTCTTATTATCCTTTGATGCCATCTTTCAATGATAATGTTAGCAGTGGCACAGTTCAACCGGAACACTTGAAAGCATCGGTGATGAGTGCTGTTGAACACAAAATTAGACAGCGCCTTCGCGAAAAATTAGGTATCGTTTCAATTGTTAATAGAAATATTTGTGCTTTTTTGCGCTGGGTTTTGAAAAATTCTGTTTAGTGTGTCATCAAAACTTCTAAATTTGATACTTGACATGTTCTTGTGTTTTACATCACCTTCTGCTTCTCTAGCTAGGTTTTCAGCCTTTTAAATAGATTTATAGGAACAATGCATGCGGAATTAGCCTCAATAAGACAAACTCATGCAGATTTACGTGCCGGCCAACAGAAGCTCAAAGTTATTTTGGACGATTTAGCGCAAGAACAAAAACGGATGGAGGGCGCACTGATTGTGTATCAGGTACTTATGCCGTTTATATGGGCTTTTATCTGTTTTCGCGTTTCCGAAAATTCGTTTAAGTATCTTTTGCTGAATTTTTTTTTTTTCATTGATTGTGAGAATAGCCTTGATTTTTAGGAAAAGAAAGCCGAAATTAGCTCTGTTTTATCAACGTCGTCCCCGGAAAAAACTGTTGAAATTGATCAGGTGATTGATGCTTGTACACCCTTGCACAAACAGGTTAGTTTTTTCGAAAGCTAAAAGATCTGAAGTAAACTATGTAGTAATTCAATTTTTCACCTTAAATGGTTAGAAAAATCAAAATTAAAATTTGAATTAGAAAAGTGACAATCATTCCAAGCATGTGATCAGGGAAAATTTCTTTTGTTTTTCAAATTTTGTTACGTTGAAAGTAACCTCTAGTCGCATTGTTAACGGTAGATTTACAAACCTATTGCAGTTACTGTGTTGCTACGTTTATGACTGTGCTATCGACGATGCTATCTATTTCCTTGGTCAAGCGCTAAGTCGTGGTCGCATCAGTTTAACAAATTATTTGAAAGAAGTACGTCAGCTTTCACGCCGGCAGTTTATTTATCGTGCAACGCTTCAGAAATGCCGTATTAAAGCGAAAATGCCTGTATAAGACTGACTTTTTTTTTGTCTGTCGTTTAACGTAATGTTTTTTTCCCTCCCATATCGAAATGTTTTTCATTGTGAAGGAAGGAAAAGGATGTTCGTGTGTGAATGTATGGTTTTTGAAATCCCTATTCTGTTAGGTAAATTTCAGACTAATTGATCGATTATTTATATTGATACGACTTCACAGTTTTTTATAAGTGTTTCGATGCTGTGTTATGCATGCTTTTCGGTGCATTTTTCTCCATGAAAATATAGCAACTTCCATGAAATGGAAAAAAAAAAAAGATATAGCAACTTCCATTTCATGGAAGTCTTTTTTTATTTCGTTTTCCTCTTTGCACTGATATCATTTACCTCTGGGCGGAATCAGTTCTTTTTCTTACCAAACAGAAATGTTAGGTTTTTTGAAATATGGCAAGGTCTTGTTCTAGCTTCAAAACAACATTTAATTGAAGCCAACATTCTATCAAAAATATTATGCAGGTATGATTTGTTTCTGAAACGTTTTATTTTAATGTTTAGGAAAATTTGTTACATAATGTTAGTAAGGCCACGGAATGCTGCCTTCAATTAAATAATTTGGAAAAATATATGGGAAAAAATCTGATGTATTTCTAGAATGGGTTATTGGTTTTGTAATAGCAAAATCAAAATTCATTCCTTCGTGAATTGTTCGTTTATGTGTTCTGTAATAATGATGAGTTGAAACTGATGATTAGATTTCAGATTCATAAAATGTAAAAGTTTTTCGTTTTTTTCTTTTTTTTTTTCTTTTTTTATTGGAATTTATGAATTTTACTACCTAGTGATGTTCATTATATAAATTATGTTGAGTGTATAGGAGCATTTCTGTTAGTATGAAGTCAGTGCATCGGTACTGAAGTGGTCATCGTTATTATGCTTTCTGTAATTATTGCATATAAAATTTTGCTAACATCTTTTTTTATCAACAGAGTTTTATTCATGTGATGATAAAGTAAGAATTCATAAAGTCATATAAAGTATCTAGCCTGTTTGCCCATATCTTTGGAGATTTTTTCAACCTTATTACTGTCTCTACAGAAAATATCGTGTTATTTATAGCTTTTTTTTTTTTCGGACGGAAATTTGGAAATCAAGCTACTTTCCCATGAGAAATATTTTTAAGATCGTTAATAATAATAATGATAATAACCAATCTCTTCCCAAACACTGGTCACATTGATCGTCTATACACCATTAATGTGTTGTGGCGAAGTAAATGATTCATTAAGTACGATTAATATCCATTGTGCATGGTGTATGTAAAACACGCACCTAGTTATGTGCCTGTATGCAGGGTGTATGTATGACATGGACGGTAAAATTATGCACATCTTTAAGGAGTTGATTTATATGGAATTCTGTTTTCCGATATTTTGTAACTTAATATGACCTACATATAACATGTTCTCTAGTCTATGATCTTATTACTACTATGTTAGTGCTAATGCTTGTACTAATGTTTGTGCTTGTGCTAAGATGCCTTTCATAGTGACTGGATTGTGGCAATATATAAATCTGTTCCGGGAAAGAATAGTCGATTCAGTTCATTTAGCTTACATAAAGTCATGTGTATTCTCGATTCTCGACTTGCTCAAACCCTTCTTTTTCTTACATAGATTTCATTCATTTTCTTTCTCCCTTCTCTCTCCCGCGTTTCATTGTGTCTTTACAAGAAAAATATGGAAGGAAAGAAGGAAGGGAAGAGGGAAAGAAAGGAAAGGATCGAATTGTGGTGGAATAAAAAAAGAAATTTTTTTTTTCAGGAATGTTATAATATTTAATCCATTTTAATTCTTTCAATTCCTATCCTCTTCATTCTCCGTTTCTCAATATCAATTCTCCTTTCATTTCTTTCCTTACTCTATCATACAACGATATGTTTTCATTTACCTTCTAAAAATATCAATATATTATTTACTTTCTGTTTCTTCCGTTCTCTCCTCTCACTCTCCTGTCTACCTCCTCATACTTCCCCCTTCGTGCTTCATATTTCCTCGTTTGTTTTGTTCAATTTTTCCTTTTCTTTTAACTTTGAAACAAAGTTTTTAGTTCTTGTCAACATTATACATTTCCTTTCTCCCACTTTAATCCTCTTATTTTTTTGTCCTTTTTTTTTACCATATTTTTCTATTTTATTGAAAAAAAGAACATTTTTTCTTTTTTCTCATTAATAGACCTATTTGTTCAGATAATATTAAATGTTTGGGATCTTTTTCAGCAATTAAAATTAAAGGGGAGAGAGAAACAGAGAGAGGGAGAGAAAGAGTGGGAGAGAGAATAAGGACAGAATGAGGATTGAAAGAAAATGATCGGCTTTAAAAGATTGTAGACTTTGTGAGGAATTGATTTTCTTCACTTCGGAATTTTCTGGCAGTCGGCAACAAACAACGTAATTAACGGATTAATGCTTCATTTTCAAAAAGAAAAGGAGAAATGAATGAATTTTTTTAAATTACACTAAATGACACACCAATCAATTTGTGATGATTTTGATGATTTATGATCCACGATTCAACATGTAACATGTCAGAGATTCTGTGATTTCCCTCTATGATTATTTTTCTGATTTCATTTGAGTGCATGTATAACATCGAGGGACAGAGAGAGGGAGGGAGAAAGAGAGAGGGAGAGAAAGAGTGTACTTTGCTTCCGAGTGTACTTTAAAATTTTCAAAGAAATTCGTAGATTCTTATTAATTCAGCAGTGTTTTAATTATTTATGTGTTTTTTGTTTCTTTCTTTTTTATCTTTCTTCCACTGAATTAACGGAAATGAGATGAATAAATTTCCTTTTTTTAGATTTTTATCTGCCAATTGTTTATTTTCGTTTTTAAAAGTGTCTTGCATATATTATTAATAAGTTTATTGGATGAAATTTTAAATTTTCATATGTTAAACTGTTTGATAGCATTAATTCTATTTGCTTTTGCATGATCTAAATTAGCCAGATGATATTGGGAGAGGGAAGAACTAAAAGCAACCATTCTTTTCCTGAACTTTTTTTCCGTGTTTTTTTTTTTATGGACATTGATATTTTGCGAAAAATTATTTTTCCCTTCTTAAATTAAAATTTTTATTATTAGAGAATTTAAATAAAAGTATGAAAATTATCTTTTTTATAATCGACCATTTTCTATTTTTCTTACCTTTCCATTCCTTATCCTTTCTTTTTTGTAGTGTAAAATGAGGTTAAATTTTCTTGATTTGATAGACTATCAATTTCAATAACATTTGCAATTGACTAGAATACTTAAATGGAAATTTCTATCAAATTAAGCATCACAAAATCATTATAATTTTCATCTCATATTGTAAAACTTGTTTTTTGATGGAAAAAATTTTCATCCATTATCTGAATGACATTTTGCTAGAAAATACAATTTTTTGAGAAAAAATTTCAATGTGAATTCTTTTTTTGAAAACTAAATTTTAGTAAAGAAGAAATATGCTACACATAATGTGTGATATAAATAGAGATATGAAGAATGCAGTAGTTGAATGTTACATGTTTTTGAACTAGAATTAGTTTGATTGAACTGTATGATAATCCAATTAATCAACTACATTAAATCAATTAGTATCATGCACTGAATTTAAAAAACATGAGTGATAAGATAATTATCGATGAGTGAAAAATTTCTTGTAGAGTTTTAAATTACCCTTGAAACATTATTTAAGGATCACACCGTGTTTTAATATTTGTTTTCATCCGCATTAGATCATATCAGTTGATGGTTTGTTTATTTCACTCATCAGTTATCATTCATATTCATTACGTGAGAAAATATAGGTTAATGAAATAAACATATTAAAAATTTAAATAATCTACAAACTTTGATCTTCTAAACTGCAATAAAAATTTAAACAAAAAATCTAGAAATAAGTAATCAAACGATTGCATTTGATATGATAGTAATTTATTGACGTATTATATCTGCTTATATATATATTTTATCTCTATCGGTTAATTTTTAGTGATTTTTTTCAATTTTTTTCGGGAATGAAATTGAACAATGTTAAAATTTTATCCTATTCTGCTCGAAAAAACACCAAGATATAAATGAAAATTAAATTCAAATTTCTTTTTCTTTTTTTTTTTTTTTTCATAAGTTTTACAAAATATTATAGAATAAAAGGAAACGTTGAAAAAGAACGTATGTTTATAAAAGCTAAATATTTGCCTTATCACTTTCTTTCATCATGAACGTCTAACATTTTAATCAAATTTGTATTAAACGAATGTTGACATCATTGTTTTCATCATTTTTATAATTATTTGTGTAATATAATATGTCCGATATTTTCAACAGTGTTAATACTATCCGCGAAATTATGATAAAATCTCCCACTTAGAAGTTTCATTTTCAATTTTATAGAAATCTAAATAACTCATTTTAATTATTCATATGTATTTAAATAAATAAGTTGTTTAATTAATTAAATATAGATATAATTAAATAAATAAATGAAACGAATATATATGTTTTCCCCGTTCCTTATTTATTTATTCATTTATAACATTTGATTTATCAATTTCTCATTTCATTATCATTTTATGAACTGCCGCTGCTGCTGATGTTTTTCTTTGTTATCTTCTTAAAATTTCATTACAAGTGAAAAAAACTTTTCTCTTTAAATTTCGTTGTTGCCTTTTTTTTAAAAAAATGAAAACTTGCAAAAATTTATCTATTTTATTCACGAAATCAATTTGGTATCCCACCATTTCTTTTTTTTCTTTTTTTTTTTTTTTTTTTTTTTTCATTCCTAAAGTTTCTGCGACTATTTTGCAATTATATGTATTTTTTTTCAAATTTAACTTCCAAATGTGTAAACTTTTTTCCTTTTTATTGCAGTATTTTGATAGTTTCACCAAAATTACAGCTACTTATGAATTCAGCTATGATTATTGTTTCCATTTCTAATTATTTTTGGTCTTGTTTAAAATAATAAGGAAATTTTACTATTAAATAGTTTTGTGAAGTTGGTAGCAGCAATTTTTCAATTTTTCTTTCTTATCGATTTCAAACAAATATGTAATTTTTCACTTCTTATTTTAATTATAAAATGTTGAGGGAAAAATAATTCGTATTGGGAGTTTTAAGAATGATCATATATTTTCATATCAGTGTGTCTAATCGTAAGAGATTTGTATAACTTATTAATTCTCTTTTTTTCTTTTCTTACTTTGTTTTAAATATTTAAGTAATATTTTTTGACATATAAATAAAATATACGTTTTGACGCTAACAACATTTCAATGTGATATGGAGTAAATTTCTTTTTCAGTTCTTTTAATATTATTGATTGGGTTGGAGGAAATTTTCAATGTTACATTTTTTAGAAAAACAAAAATTCGTAAAGAAAGGAAAGCAAAGTTAGTAAAATAATAGAGAAATATAACACAAGATTTACAAATTATATAGTGGTATTTTTATCAATACTTTTTCTCTTCTATTTCTATGCAATCCTTTCAATTTCAAATAGAGAAAGAAGAATTTCCTTTTGCATGTTAATTTTTTTTCTTTTTTTTAAAAAAAAATTTTATATTTTGTTAATTTTATTTGGTTTGAATGATAGAGAATGAGATATGATAAAAAATAAATAACATAATAAATTCAATGATTTAGTTTGAGACGATCAGAAAAGCAGAAAATTATGTTAGAAAATTGATAAAATAGCAGCTAATTGGATGTGACATAAAAGGACAAATAGTAGCGTTCACTAATATTTATCGATAAGTTTATTTCTTATCCATTGATTTGTTGTAATTTTTGTTTTCATCTCTTCCACATATTATTGTAATTATAAAAATTCATTTTATTTTCCTTTTTTTAGTATAGAAGCAAAAAGAAAAGAAAAATGGTTTTTTTATTTTTGAAACTCTTTTCATTTTATAAATTCCTAAAAAATTATTCCATTTCCACGGTATATCTTTTTTTAACAATTAAATTGCTATTTCCGTTTCCAAAAAGAAAAAAAGAAACTCTTCAGTGACCTTGTTCCATTTAATTACTTTAATTATGCGTAATTTATTACTTCTTTTTCTTTTCTCGGTAGAAACCAAAAAAAGAAACGAAACGACAAATGCATATCTGTTTTGATCAGTCAAACAATCTATCAGTAACCTCATTCGTACACCATCCTGTGTGAATTTCTTTTTTTCTATTTTTTCCACTCTTCTGAGCTTAATTATATTTCATCATTTAGTCTTATTATGCTAATTTAGGCTCTTTTGTGATATATGTTAAAGTCATCTAACATTTTGTATTTCCTGCAATTTTAACATTTTATTTCCTTTGAAATCTCTGAATTTTCAAAAAAAAAAAAAATGTGGAGAGGAGAAAAGTGATTCTTATTTCACCCAATGCTTTGAAATCTTATAATTATGGCTCGTTTTGATTCGAAATTTGAAGCGTTCGAGCGAATATAATAGTATCTTATTTTAGGATAATTTATGTAAGGAAATTTGATTGCATACTGTGGTCATTATTTCAAATCATTTGCAAGAGATGGAACTAGAAATCTGAGGACAATATGTGGTGAAAGAAGACTGTCAACATTTCATTCATAAAGTAAGTGGTGGTCGTTTGAACGCGACCAAACGATACAGCCAAAATTTTCCCATTCTTAGCGCCCCTTAAGGGGCATTTATGTACTTTTAATATCCGGTCAACACCCAATTCACCAATTGAAGTTTGCTATAGCGAAAAAAAGCTAAAACATGATATTTCGTCCGATGGGTTACGTGATACAGGAAATGGTACCAGTGATAATGATGGTACCATTTCTTATAGAATGACATCGCAAATTTTTACTAAGAAGAAATCGAAGCCTATAACACCAACACCATTATCACATGTGATACAGTCGAAATCACCGGATAGAACTGGATCACGTTCGTCAACTTCCGCATCATCTAATGTTAGTCGTTCACCGCGTCCAAGAAGTAAAGCAAGCAGTACATCAATTAGAAACGTAATGCAAGATAACACAACAACAACAACTACTACTACAACCACAACAACAACAAATGCTGCAGTCGTATCATCGAAGCGTTTGGTCCGAAAAGGCTTAGAAGTTTCACCGGCAATGCTGGAATTTTTCGGGATGAAACCAATTACACATCCAAATGCGTGTTTTCAATTTATGGAAGAACGTGATGTACCATCGTCTAAAAAAGATAAAACATGTGGAGAAGCAACGAAAGGCAATCTTTCAACTACTACAAGTGGTAACAGTAATGCGGATGAAGTAGCTGAAAACAGACATATGAAAGGATATGAAAAATATTTGGGAGAACCAGGACCAGAGCATTTTCCTGGTGTGGAAAATGGAAAAGAGGATACAAGTGATCGTTATATGGATAATATGATTCAAATAATAATGGATGAAAAAGAGAAAGAGAAAGAAATAGCATTAGGCCAAATGATGAGTAGTATATCGAGAGAAGAAATAAAACGACTTGCCAAGAATAGCTTAGGCCATGAGTATCAACAAACACATGAGCCTGGTCCGGAATATTTCAGCCGTACGACTGATGATGAGAATGGAACGACTAAGATAGATGATGAAGGGATAGAGAGCAATGGCTTACCAATATCGGCTATACGAGCTGAAGTGGTAAGTCGTGGTGCACCAGCTGCAGCATGTAATATAGCAAAAGAAGGCGGAGGCATCGAAGTAGACGCATTAATGATGGTGACAACGAATGCGACAGCGGATGCGATGAAATCATCAGTTGAAGGAGTAGCAGCAGTAGCAGTAACACTAGCACCACCAGCATCAGCAACAATAACAACGACAACAATAATACCGGTAACAGAAACATCAATGGATTCCGGAAGCGGTGGTACATTTGGAGCTATACTTATTAAGGGCGCACAAATTATTAATGATGATTCAATCTATATAGCTGATGTACTCATCCAAGATGGCATCATCCGGTAAACACTAAGCTTATATTTAATTGAGAAATTTTCATCAGTAAGTTTGCTATGTAAGGGATAATAATTTTTATTTATAGATTTTATTTATATTTTTATTCTTGGATTTTTATTTATAATTTAAATTTCGAAGAGATGGTTCAGTTAAACTGAATAATATTAAAACGAAATTTCTTCTTTTCTTTTATTACAATTAGAACACAATAATTGGGATGAATTTTGGATGGATAGATAAATTTTAAGTTATATTTAAGCTGGATAAAGCAAACTAAAAGAAGAATTAAATTGTATAACCTTAAAAAATAGCTCATTATATACTTGATCAATGATAATTCTGATTTTGCTTGCAATATTTATTTTTGCTGGTGAAAGTAATTAATGTAAAGGGAGTTGTCGAGTAAGATCCAGGAACCACATGGAGCACAGATTATTGATGGTACCGATAAAGCATTAATGCCTGCGGGTATCGAAATTTATACGGAATTCTCATCACTAGATTCTGCAGATGAATTCGAAACCGGTTCAAAAGCTGCATTAGCTGGTGGCACCGCTACGGTACATATATTCCTTTCGTTAATTGATTAAGCATTTTAAATGAATTTTTTGGGTAGGGGATGCAGATCTTTATTCATATATTCAGTAAATGGGAGTATATGTAAAGTTCACTTTATGAATGTCTACTCAACTTCCTCAATTCCTAATTTTATACACTTTACATTATCGATTTTAATTAAAAATTAAATTTGTTACAAAATTTTTATATGCAAACAATTAAACTACATTAACTTTTTTTTGAAATTATTTCTACTATAGTTTCATTTTAGTTAACAATGTTTTCATTCCATCTTTTTCATATTAATTCAAATTCTCTAAAAAACAAAATTTTCAAATTTACATAAATTTTCAAAAAAAATAGTACCTTTTCTTCTTTCTTTCTTTCTTTCTTTATTTTTTTTTTTTTTTTCAGATAATTGATGTAATCCAACCAAAGCCACAAGAAACATTACTTAATGCATATGATCGTTTATGCAAAGTTGCGCAATCAAAATCATTGTGTAATGTTGCATTCAGTGTAGTAATTTCCGAATGGAATGATATGATTAGAAAAGAAATGAATACATTAGTACATGGCAAAGGCATTAACAGTTTTATTATTAATATCCAGAAGGATGAGCAACTTTTTGAGGTTAATTCTTTATTTATTTTCTTTTCTTTAAAAAAAGGTTGATTATCTTGTGTTGTTGTATTTTGCTTTTTAAATTTCAAAATTTGAGATAAAAAGAAATGATGCCATATTTTCTTTAAAAATTAAATGTCGAATTTTCTTCATATATGCTTTTTTTTTTTGTTCCCGTTTTTTCTTCATTTCCTTTATATATATGGAACTTTATCTGTTTTAATTTTTGTCTCTCATACCGAGTTACAGATTTTGGAGTACTGTCGAAGTCTTAGAGTTCATGCTCGTATGATTCCGGAAAATAAAGATATCATTGCTTTGTTGGAAAAACGAGTACGTGCATCTGGTATTAGTGATACGGAATGTTTCCATCTTTCAAGACCGGAAGCGGTATCTTGTTTGTTGCTTTTCTTTCATCACATAAATTCATCATTACTGGAATTTCCAGAAAGTGATATTGAAGACCAACCAAATAATGTATTTGCTACGGTATAACTATTAAATCGTTATAATACATTCAACTATCCTTGCTTTCTTTTATTTCTTGATTTGGTTTGAAATAATAGAAAGGATAAAAGGAAATTATTCGATTATCTATATATGGAATTCAGTTGTCAGGCATCGTGTATTGTCTTTGAATTAATAAATACGCTACTGTGAATTTTGTCGAATTAACGATTTTCCTAATTTTCCCGGATAACTTTTTTAGAATTAATTACATTCTGTTGCAGCTTGAAGCAGATATGGTCAATCGTATTTCTGTACTTTCTAAATTGACTAATTGTCCGGTTGCAGTGATGTCGTTATCTTCTCCAGGAGCTGCTGAAGTTTTGCTGCAACAACGTAGTAATATGCTTATACCAGAGGTAACACTTATAAATTGAATTAACAAACTTTTTTTTCATTTTTTAAGTTCCAATAAATCTATAATTAAGGATAGTTTTGGAATTCCTAAAATTTATCGTTGTAGTAAAATGTGTACAATTATTTTGAATATTTTTAGATTCCCGTAACAGCATTAGATGATGAAGAAAGCAATTCAGCATTGCATACTTCATGGAGATATGCTAAATCACCTTCTGCAGTTATATCTTGTTTTTCTAAGTGACTATTCCTTTTTTTTTTTTTTTATTTTGACTTCTAGAAAGTAAATAAAGGATGATAATTTTGCATTTTACAAATTTAATTTTTGATCTACAATATTTTAAGCATTTAAGATTTGCTGAAGTCGGAAATTTTGTTTAAATACGCAAATTATAATAATTAGAACTAGCATTTTTAGTTTACCATTATGCATTTGTACATCTGGTCGTTGTAAAATGCGAAAAAAGGATTCGGCCATGGAAAATTTCGCTCAAAATGCCATATCCGCAGTGGAAGAAAGAATGTCGATGTTGTGGGTCAAAGGTGTCTTATCGGGATTGATCGATCCGATGCGTTTCGTTGCTATTACTAGTAGTAATGCTGCTAAAGTGTTTAATCTTTATCCCAAAAAGGTTTTTTTCGGCTAGAAATTCCTTCCTTGTTGTTCAATTTTTCGAAATTTGAAGCGTCATGCTTTGTTATTTGACGGATGTCAAAAAAAAAATTTACTTGATTACATGACGAGTGTCAGGAAAAGCTTTATTTGTTTGATAGGCGTAAATTTATATAGCAAGGTAAATAAAAAACGAACAAAAAGCTGTGTATATGGCATGTGTATTTAGGGAAGAATTGCCGTTGGAGCAGATGCGGATTTGGTTTTATGGAAATTAACCATGACGCATCAAGCGTGCACTCTAAATCAGCATCCGTCGGTTTTCAAAATGTCGACTGCCCACTCGAAACCTGTAATGACCATTTGTGGTGGACGAATTGCTTACAGCAATGGAAAGGTTAGGATTTTTGGATTTTTATTTGTCCCAGTAATGTTGAAGAGCTCTAAATGTCTTTAATCGTTTATTTTTACAATATTTGTTTTATCTCTTCGAGAATTTCCAGAAATGAATTTAATCAGATTCGTTACAACTATATTCGGCCATTCACTTCAGCACGTTTAATTATATGCAGAAGAGGAATATAAAGTTTCTGGAAAAGTCTGAATCATTCTGTTTATTTATTCGCTGACCAAGTTCTTGAATATTACATATAATGAAATGAAAAGTGATATAAAAAAATGAAAACTGTTTCAAATTTTAGTTTTTGCTTCCTGTTGATTAATTAATTTAATCAGTTTTCAGTTCGACATAGAACGAGGTAACTTGATGGGGCTTGGATCGCATTCTCCCTATTTATACTGTATGTTGGAGCAGTTGGAAGGGGTTAGTTCATATCAATTACAAATTTATGGAAGTTTTAATTCTTATTTCATTGATTAATCATTTTGAGAAGCAAGCTAATTTAGGTGCAACTTAATGGTGGCATGAATGACAGTATAGCATCGTATAGCAATCATTCAAATCTTAAAGAGAATTGGAGTAATAGTAGCCGATCATTTCCTGTGAAAAGCGTACAAAAGCAACAGTTCGATTCAGTTTATTCCGGTTTATTTCACTTCTTTTTTATTTAAAAATTTCAGTTTTAAGCACTTTAGAAGCTGAAAAAATTTTCTTCACTTAACACTATATTTTTCATGTTTCATTGAGCTTATCATTTCATTTGGTATTGCTTGCAGCAGCTCTCGAAGACACACGTGGTATGCGTGCATCCACAAAAGTACTGAATCCACCAGGTGGACGTTCTACGGGATTCTGGTGATACATTTAATCCAGAAAAGTTCGCCGACTTCAAAATATACCACGCTAATCTGATGAATTTGATTGTATTTTGTAACTTTTCGTGGATAATTATTTATTTTGACGCTGTAAAAATCCAACCTATGTGTAACTTTTAGTCATTTTTAAAATTTCTCAGTAGGAAAGTTTTTTGTTACATTTAGAACTTCTAAATTATGTTAAGTCATTCCTCTTTCATTATTTTATTTGTGCAAATGACAAATTAGTAGTTATTGGTAAATAAAATTATGTTTTAAATACCTGTACATCCGAGAAAAGCATTATAGGTTTGAATATTTAATATGGTGGTTTCAATACTAATTCATCTATTTTTACTTCGGCTATTATTATTATTATTATTATTGCTATTATTAGATCTCATCAATCAACTCATTCCTTCAACTTTTTATAAATAACCAGAACGCCATGCGTTATCATTTAGGGACGTATGTAAATGTTATTTGTTAATTTTTCACTAAATTTTTATTCTTTAATCAAGCAAAACATTTGTATTCCAGATCATTTTGAATTTCACACTGTTTTTTCTTTTTATTTCCCATTTTCCAGTAATTCGTTATAGATGAATTTAATTTTTTCCTGCACTCTACATGTCAAAAAATAAAATTGTAAATTGTTAACAAAGAAGAAACCTATTCCCTTGTTGGGAATTCTGATCACTTTTATATTTTTGAAATAAAAGTTCTATCATGTTTTTTAACAATTCTATGATCTTTAAAATATGCATTTATATCATAATTTCTTGGTTCAATGACAAAGTTTTCTGGTGGAGACTAGTTGAGCGATAATAAATGACAATCGACGGGAAAACAGAAGTTCTAAAAGGCATTAATTAAACTTATGGAAATTTAATAGAAGTTGAATGCTTGTTGTGCGAAGTTTCAAATCTTTCTTATTCATGCAGAAAAATCTTAAGTTCGATGAATAATTCCACCGTCCTCATTTTGTCGTTTCTTTTTCTCCATTTTTGATTCTGTAATATCTGGAAATTTAAAAATTAGATTATTAAAATAGCGCCCATATTAAAATAGTTCTGTCAATAATTTGACTTCAAATATTTATGTTAATTAATAGTTTTAGATTTAGTTCTTGCCAATTTACAAACAACATTTTCTTGGATACATTTTCATTACCATTGAATTTTTGTTACAAATACTCATATTGTTACTTCTTATTCTAACGTTATCACTTTTAACTCGTCATTTTATGCTACCATTATCTACATCTTTTGCTATAAAATCAGCACTTCTTATTTAATCATTATCTTACTTTCATTTATAAAATTTCATTTTACAATTAATTAGTTTTTTGTTATTCGAACAAATATCTGAAGACGCTATTTCATTTGTTATTACAAAATTAACAGAAGTGCTTTGTACTTTAAGCTGTAAAAAGGAACTATTTTTTTGCAAGGTTTTTGCTAATTAAAGTACTTCGGTGGCATTAAAGGGGGAGAAGATTATTACACACTTTTACACTATTATTGCTATTGTAATGGGAATTTAAAAAAAAACATGTGAGAGAGACTGGCTTAAGAATTTATTTAAAATTTTTTTTTTTTTTTTACGAAGTTATTTGAAACCAAAAAAAAATTTTTTTTTTAAAGTAAAGTTTACCGTTTTCCATCTTTGTAATTGATCAAATTCTTATTCTGTGTATTCATGTCCCATTTTGTGTTATGTTTCATTCTATTCGTATTTTACACCTTTTAAATTATCTCACATCAATTTAAGACGACTTTTATAATCCTCCTTGTTCTTATTTTTCTCTCCCTTCTTTCTCCCTCTCTCTTTCATCAACTAATTAAAAATTGTGTAATTGTCCGAAGCTACAGTTTTTAAACTCCAATCCATCTATTTAAATTTAGTTTAACTATGCATCATAATTAATTCCTTCCTTTTGTATTCGAGAATTTTTGCTAATCGGTTAATTTGCAAAATAGTAGTTGCACAGCGATTTCTTCCAGTCTTTTTTTTTTTAATTATTAAGTTTTAAATTTAATTGAATTATAACAAAGATCTCTTTTCATTTATCTTTCCAAGAAAACTTAGAGTAATTGCTCAGTTTAACAATCTCTTTCATTTTTTTTTCTCTTCTTTTTCTTTTACACATACTAATATATATTAGTATAATATCATAACAATACAGCACTTTTTTCATTTCAATAATTTTTATCATAAATTTTTATTCTAAAGATACTATGAATTGAATGTCATGAAACAATAATTTTTCTCATATTTACTTTTGTAATAAGAAATCATATTACTGGATGGATGTAATCGGATTAATTTCCTGGAACTTTGTTAATTTCTCGCAATCCTTAACAATTACTCTAATGTTAGTTTAAGTTCTATGTTAAAAAATTTTTTTTAATTCTATATGATGTATTTTTATAATGTTGTATAATAAGAAATTTTATTTTTAAAATAATTTTACATGAGTCATATGATTCATTATGGTGTAAGAATGATTGAAGTATAACAGCGAGACGCTTTATCGATGCTTCCCTTCGCTATATACATATTTAGCAGAAAAGAAAATATATATACATATTTATTTATTCATTCATTTATCATTAAAAATTAGCAATATTAGGAGGGAAAAGCGAAGGAAATATTTTAGAATTATATCTTCAAGAGTTATACCTAATATCATTAGATTAGATAATGTGGTTATATTTATTAGATGATAGTTTCGATATTTTATTGATATGTTATAGGTAAATATAAGAAGGGATTGATAATGTAATAAACAATTTGCTATTGTATGAAAAATTTGATAGTATTCCAACTCCAACAACAATAACAATAATTTAACTTGCTAATTGGTTTCCCAAGTGTTATTGATGTTGCATTCACTTAAATATTTACATGTTTAATTCAGTTAAGCATTAATCACCGGAATGGAAATTTCTAAACAATTCTGAAAATCTCAGGAATTGGTGGTGGATGAATAGGAAAGATTTTATCTAAGACATTTCAAATTTCTTATTTGTTCTATCACTATCGATGTTAACAAGTATGTTGGAACGTTAAATAATTAACTATATAATCACTGCCCCATTCTTATATTTTTGATCAAAGCTTTAACTTTGCTTGAAATTAAATAAATTTAGTGCGACCAATGATCTTTTAATTTTGTACCACCGAGAAGCGAAACAATCGCACATTCATTGTAATCGTTAACCTTTGGTTTTTGGGATACCTGAAGTTTCGGTTCTTTCTTCTTTTTTCGTTTTGGCTTTTATTTGTGGCTATAAATGAACGAATTATTCAACAGAGTATAGGAAGGTAGCGGAGGAGAAGAAAGGAGAAAGAAAAAGAAAATGGTTAGCTTCTTGGAAGTTTGACAAGCAATAGGGATCAAAGTCCACAGTACGTCGGGTCAGTCATCGTACTAATAATCCTTGATGTCTCGTCATTTGCTTTGAGGATGGACAATTGAATGTCAATCGAGCATTGAAATGTAACAGATTTCTTCACTTCGCTTACATCTCTCTTATTGTTTACATCGTATAACTGCTCGTTTCTTTTTTTTTTTCTTTTTTTTCACTTCATCATCTGTTGTTGATGTATTCATTTTTTTTTTTTCCTGCTTGCTTCAACCGCCGTTATTGCCATATGAATCAGTATAGTTTTTTTTTTTCCTTTGAATATTACAAACATAGGTATATATTTATATGTAAAAGTCATTTGCCACATTTTCACGTTATTTCGTTCTTTTCTTTTTTCTGAACTGTTATGAAGAAATAGGAAATACAACAATAGTAAATGTTTGCTGATGATACATATATATATATATATATATATATATATATATATATATATATATATATATATATATATATATATATATATATATATATATATATAATTATTAAGCTGATTAATCGTTTGTCTGTTTTTAACTGAAGCGAAATAATATAGGAGAAAGATTTAGGTGAAATTCAGATTTCATTTCCATATTTTCTCTAAATGGCTCGATGGGAATATTGGCCTTATTATGGGTTGGAAAATTACCTTTATACTATGCCATTTGAAGCGAAATTCAATATGATGGAATCAACCAAATGGATGCAAGAAAACTGGTTCCATAGCATAACATCCTCCATTGCATATGTCATTTCTATTTATATTGGACAAAAGGTACATTTTTTATATTTTTCAAGGTTTGAAATGTAATTCCAAAATTGATAAGATTTCAGGCTCTCTTTTCTTTTATTCTTCCAAAATTTAGTCGTGGTAGTAAGCTTTATGACTTTTTCTTTATCATCGCTCAGTCGGATTCGAAATACGCTCACACTAAACAACTGAATAACTGGATCCAGAATGCTTGCTTAGCTTGAAGAGATCTAGAACTAAACTTGCAATGAATGTGGATTCTCCTGTATTTTCAAGCTGTATATTGCCTTGTAAATTAACTTCCTATTTCTTGTTAATCAGGGAATGTTCACAGCGTTGATTGGTTAATTATTAATTGTGGTCTGTTACAGCTGATGGAATCACGCAAACCGTTTTGCCTAGATAATCTACTGATAGCATGGAATTTCGGTTTAGCATTATTTTCCCTCTTAGGCGTGTGTCGAATGACACCAGAATTATTGTGGAGTGTTCGAGAGAATTCTTTCGAATATTCGATATGCACAGCTTCATTTGCGCAAGGTGTTACAGGATTTTGGACCGAAATGTTTGCTTTGTCCAAGGTATGAGTTTTATAAGTTTTGGGACTATATAGTTAGACGAATAGGTTTGATGACAAAACAGTTTTAGTAAGCAAAAAATTAAAAAAAGAACTTTCTGTTTTCCGTCTCATTGGTAATCATAAACTGTGTTGTTGTTATACCCATTAATTATGGTCAAAAATTCTTTTTCTGCACGAACAGCTCACGGGAATTGTCTTTTACTTACAGCTATGGAAGTAAATTTAGTAAACAATTCATGTTACGGTTGATGGAACATGATCATA